TCCTGTGTGGCAAGCAGGCATCCCAGGGCAGCCTACCCATTTCCTCAATGTCTTCTTCAGTTATCCTTTAAGTTGGCAAAGGGTTTTATTCCTTTGCAGGGAAGTTGTCAGTAATACTCATTGTGCTTTTGTCTCTTCTTTTGCTCTTGATCATTGGACTTCTGGTTATTAGGTTCTTCTCTTTAGGGCAAGTTTCTTTCTTTTTTTTTTAATTAATTTTTTTATTATTATATTTTGACAATCTTTACATATTTAATTGTGGTAAAAAGGTACAAGGGCTATAGGAAAGTGGGTAAGATTATTATTTTTCCGTATTGTTTTCTTCATGTTTAAAGGGGGGTATTAAGGGAGAAGGCCCACCCAATTTCCCAGCCTCCCCAGGTCCCAGATGTAGGGTATGCTCTGAGGTTCTTGTTCAAGTGGTTTTGATATTTCAACAGTTATGAATCGCTGCCAGTCTTGCCACTCCAAGCACAATGAGGTCTTTGAAGAATGCACTGATTGACATAGTCCATCATAGAGTCTCCGTTTGCCTTGTATTTTGATGCCAACATACAGCTGAGTTGGTTGGTTGACCTGTTCTGTCTTCTCTCTTTTCTTGGTTAGGGTTCGGGGCAAGTTTCTAACCTGTCTTCACCCACAGGTCTACAGTTCGATTTTACTTATTGCAGTTGGTACACGGCTCTTTGTTTACTTTGTTTACTTGTGCCACTCCCTCCAGCAAGTTCCAGGGCTGGGTTCTTATGTTAGATTTCCACCATGGTCTCCAAAGCTCCAGCTCCTGGCTCATCACTCTCTACCTCCTGTGATCCCGTGCTGAGGCTGCACTGTTGTCTGTACAACCTTTTTCCCACTTCCGGTTGGAGCAGGTGCCAGGATTAGGGAGACCCCAGGTGTTCTATATATCTATCTTGTTGATGGTGCTGATCTTGCTGGAACCTGTTGGCCATTAGGTCTGAGACATATTTTGACCTGTATGATGCAACAGTCGGTATTATTTTCCTATGGGACTAGTGTAATGCACTGAGCTCAACGCATGCGCAGCTCACTGCTGTCCCTGTAGTCTTAAATTTATTGCAACAACGTACAATATGGCACTGATGTGCCACTACTAGAGTTCTTGATCTGCTGGCCTTTGGGTTTGAGGACTACCCAGACCTGTCTTGGGTGGAACCTGTCTTGGGTGGAACCTGTAGGATGCCACGTTGTTGCAGTTCACTGAATCACTAATGAGTTCATTCCCAGCTCAGTACATCTGCAGTAGTGTCCATAGCCCTTGCCTCCTTAAACAAAATGGTGCCCGACACAGCTCCAGGGAGCACACTGGGTTGTTCCCACACCCTGTTCCCGTACTGCCTATCTGGGATCTGCTGCTTTGTCTCTGCTCCTGGTCAAATCAAACAGAGCAGCAGGGCAGACAGTTCTTTGTCTGGGTTCACCTCCTGAGCTCCCAGTGAAATCCTTTCCCACCTGGTTGCTTGTGGAATTCTGGCTGCAGGTGCAGTTCAGATCGCCTCGCCTTGCCTCGCATCGAATGCAGCTGAGGTATCAATCACTGCAATACCACACCATTGTGACCACTGCTTTCCTGTGTCTGTCAGTCTCCAGGTACCCCTCTGCTGTGGTTCTGTCCTCTCCTATTTCCTGGAATGTGCTGTCTCTGTTTCACACTGGCTAATATCTCTTCAGGAGAAATATTTCTCCGTCTGTTTAAACGTGTCACTACCCTATTCCACCATCTTCATTCTCATTCTTAGTTTTTGCCACTTAAGTTTATTGGTTGTTTTGTTTGTTTTTGTCTTCTCTACATTCTGCTCTTTGGAAGGGAGTCATTATGCAAGGCCCATACTTGAGGAATGCAGATGTAAGTAGTATGGATTTGTGGGGTTTTTTTAAAATATAATTTGGATTTTAATTGAGTACTGCTTTATTTTGTGGCTAAAATTGTTGCAGCTTTGGCCGTGAGGAGCTCTGTATTTGACTTCTGTGTCCTTTAGGTTTTGTGTCTCTTCTGTCTTTTGTTCTTTGTTTTTAGTGCTTTCTTACTTTCTTAGTAAGACTCTCTACACTGCTCCTTTGTACTGCATGCCTGCTTCCTAGAATCATCCAGTTCTCCAAGGAATCCTGGCCCCTTGCCATGGAGTAGTGTATGCTAGGCTTTCGCTGTGCTCGTTGCTGCTCAGGTAGCACAGCATGTAGTCCTCTTAGCTGACTTACCAAGGAGATATGGAGCTGTAGGTGTGTGCATACACAGCTGGTAGATACACACACATTTCTATTTGTGACGATAGAGCGTTCATGAGATGTTATAACTCATGAGTTTATCTGGGTGTCTTGAATACCAATCCCTTGTCACATGCACCACTCTAGCTTTCTCCCTTGCTTGTTAGTGCCTTCCCATTCCAACAGGGAAAACCTGGCTTGCACTATCCACTAGCCATTGATTTAAATGCCTCCATTTCAGTATGCATGCATGGTAGTTGTAGAAGGTTTCTAGGGATGCTGTGATAAACTTAAAACAACAGAGAGTTGTTCTTGTAGTTCTGTAGAGTAGAAGTTCAAAAGCAAGAGGTGGGAAGTACAGAAGAGAATACAGAGCAGTAGAGAAATACACCATGTGGTCCCAAATCCTGGCAAAGAGCAGTTGTTGACACGCTAAAGACAGAGAGAGGCAACAAGTAATAATTGAAGAAACAGTTGACAAAGACATTGTCAATCTGGTGTAAACAGTCCACAAATACAAATAAAGCCACAGCTAAGCTCATCATAGTCAATGTGAAAACCAGAGATGAAGAGAAAAAAATTTAAAGCATCAGAGAAATAATTATATAGAAATTACAGAGGGCCTAGCATGATGGCTCAGTGGCATTTAGTCCATTCCTTGCACATACCAGGATCCTACATGGGTGCTGGTTTCGTCCTTGGCTGCTCCATTTCCCATCTGTCTCCCTGCTTGTGACCTGGGAAAGCAATGGAGAATGGCCCAAAGCCTTGGGAACCTGCTCCTGCTTTGGAGACCTGGAAGAAACTCCTGGCTCCTGGCTTCGGATCAACTCAACTCTGGCTGTTGCAGCCATTTGGGGAGTGAACCAGCCAGTGGAAGATCTCTCTGTCTCTCCCTCTCTCTGTAAATCTGCCTTTCCAAGAAAAATAGATAAATCTTTAAAAAATAGAAAACGTTATATTTTATGTATTGACATTTTTTTTCAGGTGCTGATAAAAAACCTACCAACTAAAAATTTTAATTCCAGCTACAACAGAGTAACAGATCAGTTTGCTTCCTGCTTCAATCAGATTATCTAGGCAGAACATGAACAGTGGCTTTCTAACATTGGACATCAGGAAGCACAGAGCATTGAAATCTGAGAAAGAGAAAGAGATGCACGCTAGCTTCCAGCTCCCTGGCTGGAGAGAGTTGGCAGGCTGCTGAGCAGGAAGGGGCCCTCCAGGCAGAGCTTACGGCTTCCCCGAGTTAGGTTGGCCCTGGGAGTCTGAGCAAGTCATGGTGAATAGGACCGTGGGATTACAGACTGGCAAGGCAAGAGCTGCCCAGCACACGTCCTAAAGCTCTGCGGCCTTCCTTGCCTTCATGTGAGTACAGAGTGGTTCATACATGTTCAGAAGCTCCCTAGGCTGGGAGAAGGAGATCTTGGGAAGAGTAGTGGGAACAATCCTCACAGAGGTGGGAATATTTATTGCCAGTCATAGTGGAAACATCTTCTAAAACATTGGTTAGGGGACCCAAAAGGACTTTGTCCTAGTCATTAGGAAAATTGCTTCCTTACCAAACACGGTGTCACCTCACCTAACAAAGCAAGCAGAACCCAGAAAAACTGGTTGGAATTGTAAAAATGATAAGCCAGCAATACCTGACATCCATGAGGACTGACTTCTCACTAAGGATGACCAGTGGGTGAGACTGCTCCCTGTCCAGCTTGTAGTGCATGCTGTGTTTCACAAACAGTGAGAATGGGGTAGCCACGAAGTAAGAGAGCATGCCCTGAGCCATAGTCCAAATCTCAGCGTGACTCTGAGGACAAACGTGAGCAATGCACGTACAGTTACTCCACGTGAACAGGTCGTGGTCTGTATTAGCATTCAGTCTTCTCGGTGGTTGGTTGGTTTTATTATCCACTAAGAAATCCTTTGCTCTTTGGAAGTAAGTGGCTCACGTATTAACACGTGTTGGATCAGTGGCGAGTTCAGGCTCTTACATTGCTCTCTGAGTCTGAAATGCCTTTAGATCTTTGTCCTGGAGAATGATTTACGGCTGCCTAGGAAGGTGGCTGCATAGATCAATCCTTTCTATCCACTGACTGGCTTCTGAGTCTGAGAGTGCCTGCTGGAAGGAGGCAGCTGATTCCTCAAGAAGACACGTTTGCTCCTTTGCTAGGCTGTTAGTATAGATAAACAAAAATGTTAAGTTTAGCTATTTTTGTGAATATGGAATAGTATTTTAGTGCTGGGTTAGTAGTGATTTTCATGTGTATCAAGTTTAATCTCAAAAGTAATAACCAGGTTGTTTGGCAGGTAGTGCTGGGGATCAGGCAACACGGATTTACTGAGTATTTGGTGCCATGAACTGCGCTAAGGGCTTTTTATTGGTCTCTCAATTTAATCCTAGTCATTTTACACCTAGAACTCACTTCTCTGTTCTAGATGAGAAGTCCAGAGCCCTCAAGGAAAGTTTTCCTCAAATTGTTAAATGGAATTACCAGAAGAAACTTAGGAAGTATAGTATATTTGATTTAGGTTATAAAGAAAACATTTACTAATGGTGAAAATTGTGAAGGATTGCATTGGCTCGCCTGGGGAAATTTAGAAACTTCTTCTGCTTCTCTGAAAATTTTAGGTTTATGTCTTGTGTGGGTTTAGGAATAATCCTGCCTGAGGGCAGAAGAAATAGACTACTTGAGCTCGCGGTGTTTCTCCCGAGTCTCATGGCATGGCAACTTGGTATTGTTGATTTTGAACGTGTCCTATTCTTTCCCTTTTTTAAGGTGGATAACATTAATGAAGCTGTGATGGATTTGAAGAAAAAGAAGATCCGTAGTCTCAGCGAAGAGGTCAAAATCGGAGCACATGGAAAACCAGTAATTTTTCTCCATCCTAAAGACTGTGGTGGAGTCCTCGTGGAACTAGAACAAGCTTGATTTGTATTTGTAAGAAACTAGGCTAATTATCCTAACAAAAAACCTTACTAAACACTGTCAAATTGCACTCTCAACTAGCATGTTGAGCTCAAAGTAAAAATCTTAATTACAGAAGGATTAAATATATGTATGTATATACATACATATGTGGGTGCATATACTAGGATTAATAAATATATTGATTTGGGTTTGGAGGTATTCAATAGGGGAATTTATTGAAATCATATTCATAGAAATAAATTACTTATACAATGGAGTCATTGAGTACAGTTTGTCAGCTGTGTGAAAATACGTATGTGGTGGGATGCATGCACAAGCCTTGTGAGTACACATGATACTTACGTGGCTATATGTTTGAGACAAAGCTGTTTTTAACAATGTTTCAGATCAAGTTTTTTAGAGTAAATTATTTAAGAAACAACTCATGGCCACAAATTCCTGAGGAGCAAGGTGTTTTGGCTGTTTGTGTTGGAGGTATGAACAGGCGGTTTTGTGAGAAACTTGGTACATGATTGAAAGTGCCTGGAGAGTAGTAATGTGTAGAGTTGTCTGTCATTTAACTTCCAGAACACTCCAGCAGGTCCTAGAAGAATACACAAAATGTATAGAGGCCCAGTACGGTGACCTAGCGGCAAAAGTCCTCTCCTTGCACACCCTAGGATCCCATTAGGGTGCTGGTTCTAATCCTGGCAGCCCTGCTTCCCATTCGGCTCCCCACTTGTGGCCTAGGAAAGCAGTTGAGAATCGCTCAAAGCCTTGGAATCCTGCACCTGCATGGTAGACCCAGAAGAAGATTCTAGCATCTGGCTTCTGATTGGCACGCTCTGGCCATTGTGGCTGCTTAGGGAGTGAATCAATGGACGCAAGATCTTTCTCTCTCTTTCTCCTTCCCTCTGTATATCTGACTTTCCAATAGAAATTTAAAAAGAAATCTTAAAAAAAAATGAGTAGAACTCTACTGCCAAGGAGTTGAAGGTACAGCTGGGAAAATACTGCATGAAGTAAACATAAATATTTGCAAGTCAACATATAACCAAGTTAAAAGGAAGAGAAAGGCAAGGGACTGTAGGTATCGGAGAGTAGGTTTAGAAGTATATTGGGTTTGCATTCAGACTCTCAAATATATTAGAAAGAAACACCTTATGAACTTCAAGGATTGTAGATAGATGTGTATAGGAAGATGACTAAGTTAATGAACATTGAGTAAACAAGCAGGTGTATAAACACCGAGCTTCTTATGGTAGACAAGTCATATGTGGGAGGATGCTAAGAGGGACTTGAATAGTGGCTAAATGGCCGCTTTCTGCTGAAAGTGATGAATGCTAGTGGATGATGATATGTGTAAAGCAGTCCCAAGAGTAACCACTGGAAAACTTAAAATTACTTGCAAAAACATAAAGCCAAAGGAAATACCAAAGAATGCCCTAGGCCAGCATTGTGGCATGTAGGTTAAGTTATCACCCATCCTGTACAGGTGCTAGTTCATGTCTTGACTACTCCACTTCCCATCCAGCTCCGTGGGACCACTGCCACCCTTGTGGGAGGCCTGGATGAAGCTACTGGCACCTGATTTTGACCTTACCCTGCCGTTGCAACTAGTTGAGGAGTGAAGCAGTGGATAGAAAATGGCTCGCTCTCTTTCTTTCTTTCTTTTTAAAAATTTATTTGTATTAGAAAGGAAGATTAATGGAGAGGAGATACAGAGAAGTGTCTTTCGTTGGTTGGTTCATCCTCTTGCTCCACCCATCTCCCTAATGGCTGCAAGAGCCAGAGTTGAGCCAGTCCAAAGCGAGGAGCTTCTTGTAGTTCTCCTATATGGATTCAGGGTCCCAAGGATTTGGGCCATCCTCCACTGCTCTCCTAAGCCACAAGCAGGGAGCTGGGTGAGAAGTGGAGCAGCCAGAAAATGAACAGTACTCATATGAGATCCTGGTGCCCACCAGGTGGAGGGGGGGGGAATTAAGCAACTAAGCCATCACTCTGGGCCCTCTTTCTCATTTTCTATCAGTTTCGTCCCCTCCTCTCTATAGCATTCTCAAATAAATAATCTTACAATGCTTTAATAACCGTTTGAAAACAGATAAGGGGAGGGCCCGGCACGGTGGTGCAAGTGGTTAAGGTCCTCTCCTTGCACCTCCGGAATCCCATATGGGCGCCGGTTCTAATCCTGGCAGTCCCACTTCCTATCCAGCTCCCTGCCTGTGGCCCCAGAAGGCAGTCGAGGACGGCCCAAAGCTTTGGGACCATGCACCCGCGCTGGAGACCCGGAAGAGGCTCCTGGCTTCGGATCGGCACAGCACAGGCTGTTGTGCTCACTGGGGAGTGAATCACCGGACAGAAGATCTTCCTCTCTGTCTCTCCTCTCTGTATATCTGCCTTTCCAATAAAAATAAAATAAATCTTAAAAAAAAAAACAGATAAGGGGAAACAGTAAGGTGACTGACTTCCATCCTGTCATCAGAAATTACATTCCATTGCAAATGTCTGAATACACCAATTAGTGTACAGATTGGGAGAGTGAGTAAAAGGCTATGACAACCCCATGCTAACTAGTAGCAATTAAAAATATAATGATTTTGGTATGTTAATACTTAAAGACTGGAAAAAGAGACACTTTGCAAACACTGAGGAAGCTGGAAGGCTTATATCAGTATCAGAAAAGCAGACTTGGCGAAAGGAGATTTCCAAGGACAAGGAGACACATCTCATAATAATAAAAAGGGCAGAGCTCACAAGCAGACAATACAGGTATATGCACTGAACAGCACAGCTAGAAATGCAGGCACCCAGAATTGATAGAACCAATAGAAGGAAAGTCTTACAGGACCTACTCATGGTTGATGGTTGGGAAGTTCAACTCCCTCATCTTATTAACAGATAAAACTACTAGACGGCTTTCTAGAAGAATTGAACAGTCTCCCACGCAGGTGCAGGGTCCCAAGGCTTTGGGCCATCCTCTACTGCTTTTTCAGGCCATAAGCAGGGAACTAGATGGGAAGTGGAGCAGCTGGGACACAAACCGGCACCCACATGGGATCCTGGTGAATGCAAGGTGAGAATTTAGCTACTAGGCTATCGTGCCTGGCCCCTTGTTTCTTTTTAAAAATTATTTTCCTTGATACAGTTTTGTAGGTGTAGAAGTTCATGCCTCCCCCTAATTATCCCTAGCCATTTTCCCCTGAATATCATCACAGTAGTATAATCCCTAAGTAAGAGCCACAAGTTTAATTTTTTCCTATTAAAATGTATCATGACATGGTAGGTGTAGGCAAAAGTAGGAAATCTGGTATCATATTGTACAGGTGTATTTTAAGAGTTCAGTGATAGTCCTTTTAGGGAGTAGAGGTGTGTACTGCAGTGTATCTTTACTTCTCGGTATGCTAGTCTGCGTTATATACTTCATCAGTGAGAATATATGTATATACTTGGTAATATATATATATGGTATTTATTTTGTACTTTGTGTAAAGACTAGACAGTATTTGTCCTTTCAGGACTGGCTTATTTCACTAAACATAATAATCCCCAGTTGGGACTGTTTTGTTGCAAACAGTAGAATTTCATTGTTATGGATGAGTAATATTCCACAGAGTAAATGTGCTAAAATTATTTTATCCATTCATCTGTTGATAGACATCTGGGTTGCTGTTTCCATGTCTGAGCGATTGTAGAATATGCAATCTTTAAATATTATGTGACTGTCCCTAAGACTATGGAAGAAACCTGAACACACTTAATAAGTCATGAACTAGGTTCTGTAATCATAACTGAGTTAAGTAGAAGTTAATAACAGATGATAGAAGAATCTCCAAACACTTCTACGTTGTCCAAGAGGAAGCCTCATAGGTAGCAAAAAACACTGGGCTGAGTAAAAGTGGAAATATGGCAATCAGTGAAAGCCACCAATTATTAGAATTCTACCTTCACACAGGAATGGAAGTAGGTAGCAATATTTGCGAAATGTTATGTGTAATAGATAGTGTTTGCCTCCCAGCCTCCATCCTTCGTTTCTTCCATAGTGGAGTTCACTGTTGTGGGGTCACGTGCTGTAAGTATGTTTATAAGAAATTCCAGTGCCCTCCAGGGTGGCTGCTGATGGTTTTTGTCATTCATCAGCAATGGGTGGAGCTCCTGTTGCTCCACATTTTTGCCAGCGAGCATTTGTTTTTTTTCTGTTCTGGATTTTGGCTGTTCTAAGTTTGTGATGAAATATCAGTGTTATTTTGAGTTGCCTTTTCCTAATGGCGTGTGATTTGGGGCCTCCTTCTTATGATTATTGGCCATCTGTATACATCTTAGCTGAGGAATCTGTTCAGTTCTTTGTCCCATTTTCTTTTCTTTTTTTTTTTTTAATTGTTGTTAACATTGTATTATGTGATACAGTTTTATAGGCACTGGGGATTCCCCCCACCCCTCCCATACCCCTCCCCCCATGGTGGATTCCTCCACCTTGATGCATAACCATAGTTCAAGTTCAGTTGAGATTCGTTCCTTGCAAACACATATCTAGCATAAAGTCCAGCGTCTTATTGTCCAGATAAGTTCAGTGGCCTCTTGGGGAGACCTTCTCTAGTCTGAAGATAGGGCTAACAGAGTAAAGATCCGGTCAGTTAAAAGCCCCAACAGAACCTCAGTATCAATATACAACATTATGGAATTAATTGACATAGTATTGGGTAAACAATATGTTAAAAATAATGCAAGTTCCATTCTTCGAAACATCTGGGTTGAGACAGTATCAATGACAGGTTCAAAAAATAACCAACAACCAAACAAAAATTACAAGTTAAATCAAGGCAAACATGTGGTATCTAATCTTTTAGGATTCGCTCATTTCCCTTAGCATTATAGTTTCCAGTTGGGCCCATTTAGCCACAAAGAACTGCATTTTGTTTTTTTTTAATAGCTGAGTAGTATTCCATGGAGTAGATGAACCAAAGCTTTCTTAGCCAATCTTCTGCTGATGGGCATTTCGGTTGCTTCCATGTTTTTGCAATTACTGATTGTGCTGCTATGAACATAGGGATGCATGTTGGTTTGTCGTAAAACAGGTGTTTTGGATATATTCCTAGGAGTGCAATTGCTGGGTCATATGGTATGCAGATTTTGAGTTGTTTGAGTGTTCTCCAGACTGATTTCCATAAAGGCTGTACCAATTTGCAGCTCCACCAGCAGTGGAGTAGGGTTCCCTTTTCCCCGCATCCTCGCCAGCAAGTGTCGTTGGTGTTCTTGTTTATGTGGGCCAATCTAACTGGT